CTAACGACTACAGCCCCATTAACTCCCTGTGCCAATGCATTGATGAAGTAAACGGTTGGATGTGTCAAAACTTTCTGCAGTTAAACAAAGACAAAACTGAAGTTATTGCGTTTGGAAACAAAGATGAAGTTCTCAAGGTGAATGCATACCTTGACGCTAGGGGTCTAACAACTAAAAATCAAGTCAGGAATCTTGGTGTGTCACTAGAGTCAGACCTTAGTTTCAATAGTCATGTCAAAGCAATAACTAAATCAGCATACTATCATCTGAAAAATATTTCAAGAATTAGATGCTTTGTTTCCAGTCAAGACTTGCTTTCATCACCAGCAGGGTGGATTACTGTAATGGCCTCCTCACTGGCCTTCCTAAAAAGACCATAAGACAGTTGCAGCTCATACAGAACGCTGCTGCCAGGATTCTGAGCAGGACCAGAAAATATGAACACATCACACCAGTCCTCAGGTCTTTACACTGGCTGCCAGTTACATTTAGGATTGATTTTAAAGTATTATTACTGATATATAAATCATTTAATGGGTTAGGACCTCAATATATTGCAGATATGCTCACTGAATATAAACCCAACAGATCACTCAGATCATTAGGATCACATCAGCTAGAAATACCAAGGGTTCACTCTAAGCATGGAGAGTCTGCTTTTAGCTATTATGCCAGCCGCAGCTGGAACCAGCTTCCAGAAGAGATCAGGTGTGCTCCTACAGTAGTCACATTTAAATCCAGACTCAAAACACATCTGTTTAGTTGTGCATTTACTGAATGAGCACTGTGCCACTGTTCATCCGACTGTTACTGCACTTCATTTCATCCTAAATAGTTTTAATTTTCTGTATTTTATTTATATCATAATTTTTATTTTTCATTATTTCTTATTTTTTTATTCTAAACTGTTTTAATTATTCTGATTTCTTTTGATTATTTTAATTTCTTCTATGTAAAGCACTTTGAATTGCCATTGTGTATGAAATGTGCTATATAAATAAACTTGCCTTGCCTTGATTTTTCATTGTGTTCTATGTAACATGTTGACTCATTTGTATTCATAATTATTTTTTAGATGTCTTAAGTCTGTACTTGGCCTCTTCAACTGTAACACCGGTGACGACTGCAGGTAATGTACACTAGAAAAAAAAAAAAAAAAAAAAGTTTTGTCAGTTCAATTTAGTTCAACACACACACATAGCGGAGAGCACACACAGAGGAGAGCACACACACACACACACACACACACACACACACACACACACACACACACACACACACACACACACACACACACACACACAGTGGAGAGTACAGCACACAACACATAATCTTCAATGAACAATATGAATGAGCACATATGTTCACGTTGCTAGGGGTGTTGTGTAGGGCATTTCAGAATGTTTGTAAACAATAGGCACTGCGATACTTCCGGGTGGCAGAACGCGAGCGGCTTCCATTGACTAACTGAAGAGATCCAGCCGGCAACTGAACAGTTACACAGTTAAAATCATTGTTGTTGATCAAAGTTGAAACGATGGCGAAAATATGTTGTGTTTGGGGTTGCGCCACCAGATATACAGCAAAAGGTGTAGGTTTTTTATCGATTTCCTTCAGAAAAAAGTAAATCTATCCAGCAGAATCTGTGGGTGAGGAGGTTAAAGCAAGTGGACGTCGTCAAAAATGCATGTCGTCTTCTAATTATGAGCCTGAGCCCGATTTAAACCCAACCATTTTAATACGTGGGTCGTTATACAACTGACGTTCTCAACTAACTTAGTTCATTTCTATTAACCTTACTTTCTATGTTACTTTCTTTTGAGCGGTGAGTAAATGCTTCTTCATCGTAAATGCTTCTGATTGGCCATTGCGTTCAATAAATCAACACATATGTCTGTGATTGGCTACATCGCTCATCGCTGCAGTCATGTTATAAAAAGAAACTCTGCCATGTAAATCATTTCTATTTTGTTTTAGTTGTTCTTGTTGCTTTTCTGCAACAGATGTATACAAATGTATTAGTTTTTATTTGTTTTATTCATAGATATTTCTAGTTTGCGGGAGTCCTGCGAATCGTTTTATTCTCCCGCAATTCGCACACACAGAGTGAATGCATCAGATCTAGTCCCGCGCCGCGGTCTGGTGCGTTGGGAGTGCACGTCTCTAGATCAAAGAATCTAAGCTCTAATGATCATGTTAACTACTGTATGTCTGAATTTCCACCACGTCTGTTTTTGAATCAACTGTTGAATTGTAGATTAGACTGCCGACGGTGTGTCTCCCTCCATGCAATTTACTAGTGTTGCCATAGGGACGCTTCTGCTTTTGCCACCCGGAAGAACGTCTGTTATTGTTGTGACGTCATGGTGAATTGTCGTATAGTGACACATAGAACCATTGGCTGATCCAATCATAGCCGTCTTTCTTCTCAATAAAACACAGTTATTGACCAATCAGAATCGAGGACTGGAACCAACTATTTCTTAATGAGGCAAAATTGACCGATCAGCAAGAAGCAGCCAAACACACACCCTTTCTTCTTCTGTGTTCTTCAGAGCAGACGTCCTGTAGCTGACACGAGTCACGACTATACTGCCCTCTATAGGTCTGGTGCAGTCGTAGTGCGCACGTGTCCAATCTGGCCATCCTGAGCTTTAGTGGAAGTTGTGTATAGGATCAATGTAACTCAATTAAGTTCAATCAGCATTGTTTTATGTTACAGAAATCTGATTGAATTAGGTCACAACAACAAAATTAGAATTTAAATCAGGTAGAAATAACTCGTGTTATCACTGTCTTACTGAAATACTTCTGCTGATCAGCTGTGGGCCACTATTACCTAAAACTGTGTCTGCTGTTTTACTCAAATTATTTAGTTTAAACTTTTTTTTCTTCATTATATGCATATGAAATATGGAGGAAACTGAATACCAGATTGTTACTTTAATATTAGTTTATGTACCAGGATTCCCGCTGAAAACCTAACAATGGTCATTTTAAAGTGATCATTTCTAAAATGTAAATAAAATCTTTTAATAATAATAATAATAATTATAATAATAATATGTAAATGATTATACTGGTGTGTAACATGTTTACTTCCAATTTAAAAGATTTTCTTTAAGATGTATGGATGTTTAAATAATACTATAAGCAGTGTTGTGCAAGTTACTTCGAAACTGTAATACATTAGTTATTACTTGTTACCCCAGCAAACAAATTTAGGTTCTGGGAACGTTAGTTTTTGGTTCCCAGAACATTCCTAGAACTTTCCCATAAGGTTAAGGGAATGTTCCCAGAACATTCTCCTTACGTTATAAAAATGGAACCTAAAAATAACCTACATGGAACGTACCTATAACGTTTTTGTTTGGTTCCCAAAAAAAAAACCTCATGGGACCATTCGGGAACATTAGGGGAACATTCTGTGTTTGCTGGGACTGTTATTTAAAAGTAATTCATTACCTTACAATATTACTGTCTCAGAATTGTAATGCGTTACATTACTCATGTATTACTTTTGAGTTACTTTCACCAAAATAACAAAGTAGAACTTAACTTTTGGGCTGTAACGATATGCAATATGAAACCGAAATCGCGATTCGCCACACGACTCAGATCCACGAACCTACATAATCGAGACACACCTCTTCCAACTCCAGCGTTATTCTCCTTACCGTCCAGATCCAATGCTGCCTTATCTTTAAATTAGGCTATTAGTATTATTTGAAGTTAACATTATAAAATACGTAGACCTACACCACAAAACTAGTTGAGGATAAATTATTTAAAATTGGGAAAGTCCAGCATTATGGACATGACATTTGCAGTCAAAACTTGAAATAAAAATTCTCAGAAAATACATGTATTGAAACGTATATAGGCTACTTCCTTAAAGGACTCCAGACATTAGACAAATATCAGTCTATGTTTTATTTTTAATATTAGGGAAAAGACACACATTCATGCGTGACAAAAAAAATAGGAGGCAAAATATATTTTTTGTAATTCTGTTAATTACACAGCGCAAATCGGATGAGGAAGGGTTGGCTCTGCAGTCTCCATAGAACTTAAAATATTCATTTTATTTTAGTTTTCGTGTTCGCATTTATGAGGAAAAAACAATGTTACAGACGCGACCGCTCTGAACTGGCACTAAAAGACTGCTTTAAAACTTTCACATAGTCTGTTGCCTTTAAGAAGTAAAAGCAGACAATACACTGTAATTCAATTGTAATACAAGCCTCACTGAACATGTAACGAGTAAAATATTACTGAAAATTGATTAGTAATGCCTTACACTACTGCGTTACAGCAAAAAGTAATATGTTACTGTAATGTATTACTTTTGTAATGCGTTACTCCCAACACTGACTATAAGTGCATTTGAAAAAATATTGTCGATCGAAATGAATCGCTCTGAATTAGCAAAAGAAGAAGAAAAAAATTAATGTCTAAAACTGCAATTTTGGTTACATTTTGTAATAAAACATGTTTTTTCAGAAATTTGTTAATTTCTTAATATATTTTCACTACATCTAATCTGTCAGACCCCTGCAACAACTACACTGTGCTGGACAATCCATGGAGATCCATCAATAATACAAATAACACCTACAACTGTGACACGTCTGACTCCTGGAGCGGCTGGTATCGTCTCTTCATTAACGGCATGAGCGCTCATATCCCAGACACGTGTGTTGCTCAGTACAGATGTGGCACTGCTACCGCACTGTGGATCCGTGGTGGACACCCAACAGTAACAGATGGAGTCGTCACTCGAGATGTCTGCGGTGACGATGGGAGTTTCTGCTGCTCTTACAGGTCTTTTCCCATTGAAGTCAAAGCCTGTCCAGGAGATTATTATGTCTATGAGCTGGTCAGACCAACTCTCTGTAATTCAGCATACTGTGCAGGTAATTATATTCACATGAGCTCTTTCTACACATTCATGATATTTGTGTTTCTGTTGATTAATCATTATTCATACAAACTTTCAGACACTGGCAGCATTAACACCAGCCCTACAACTGTCACACCAGTGACCATCTCACCTGGTAATGTAACACACTGTGTCTCTATTGGCTTATTTCCTGAATGTTTTCTAATGTATGTAGGCTACAGATCTGGGGTCTCATTTATAAAGCGTGCATACGCACAAAACGGGGCTGGAAACATACGTACGCCACTTTCCACGCAAAGTTTGTGATCTATAAAAAAACAAAATTGACGGGAGAATGTGCGCACCATTAAGCAAACTTTGAGCCGTGCGTACGCACATTCTGGAGACAAAGGGAATTGGAGACACTGATGGGGAGCTGTAGTTGATGTGTTTTTGGTCACTTTTAGAACGAAAATTTAAAGAAAATTATAGTCTATAGGATACAGAAAGATAATAGCCTACAAATAAAATTTCACTCACCAAGCCAATCACTTGAAGCCAATATCTATCCCTTCTTAAGTGTCCGCGCCAGCACGCGCGTTGGGACGTTTAGTGAAACTGACGCACATAATCTAATGGCAGATGAACCTTAAATCTTTATGAGTAGGCAAATAAATACAGTGCACGTTCTCAATAACAGTTTAAATAAATGAAATAATGATTTAAACTATGTTTTACTTCTGATAAACATTCAGATTACAGTTTTTCTCGATTGTTTACACACATTTTCTGGTACTTGAGACACAATGAGCACAACATGTAACTCATTCACCAACCCCCTGAACCAGTTCTGCTGAACTACAAGCACAATTCCTGCTTTACACTCAAATTTCAGTTCTAAAACACACTTTTTTCAAAACACTACACACAATTCTCTGCTTTTGGCACAATTTTCATGCAGAAAATCTCTTGTTTTCATGAGGAACACACTGCCATTCAGATATTCACACTGACTCGTCACATGGGCAAACACATTTCACACAGTTTTACAATTAACAATCAGAGCTTTAGCATAAAATACCAAAACCAAAGAGAGGATGCAGCATAGATATTTTTTATTTCTTTTTTTACTGTAACAGCATAACAAATTCGGTTGTTTTGCATGTAGACCACTGTATGTGCAACTTTGTGTTGGTTGGGGTGTACAAAATGTGGGATCTATCTCCCATTGATTTTGTGGGAAAAATTAAATATATTTGTTACTGTGTATTTGTGTGTTCTGGGTATAAAAAACAATATTCTCAAATATTTTACAACACACTTATGTATGTAATGTCTGTAGTAAGTGTAACACTGAACAAAAAAGGCCTAAATCATTATGATGAATGGAGAAGAAGTGTTTTCCATTGATCGTAGTGTTTTACATTGAGCACATCAGTGTTCAACTGGTTCTTATAAATGTCTATTCATATAATGGTTTGTGTGTGTCATTTGAAAACAAAATAACATTTTGAGAATATATAACATTGTTTTGAATGTAAAGTTTCATTTTGCTCTAGAATTGAGGGGTTTGCCGATTGTGTGAGTGTTTTTAGATTTGTGTGTAGAGTTCTGAGAATATGAGGCATTCTTGCAGGAAATGTGTGTAAACAATCGAGAAAAACTGTAACTTCATTAACGAGAATGGCATATTTACAGTTTTTCTCGATTGTTTACACACATTTTCTGAAAGAATGTCTCATATTCTCAGAACTCTACACACAAATCTAAAAACACTCACACAATCGGCAAAACCCCTCAATTCTAGAGCAAAATGAAACTTTACATTCAAAACAATGTTATATATTCTCAAAATGTTATTTTGTTTTCAAATGACACACACAAACCATTATATGAATAGACATTTATAAGAACCAGTTGAACACTGATGTGCTCAATGTAAAACACTACGATCAATGGAAAACACTTCTTCTCCATTCATCATAATGATTTAGGCCTTTTTTGTTCAGTGTTACACTTACTACAGACATTACATACATAAGTGTGTTGTAAAATATTTGAGAATATTGTTTTTATACCCAGAACACACAAATACACGGTAACAAATATATTTTATTTTCCCCACAAAATCAATGGGAGATAGATCCCACATTTTGTACACCCCAACCAACACATAGTTGCACATTCTGTGGTCTACATACAAAACAACAGAATTTGTTATGCTGTTACAGTAAAAAAAGAAATAAATACTGTAAATATCTATGCTGCATCCTCTCTTTGGTTTTGGTATTTTATGCTAAAGCTCTGATTGTTAATTGTAAAACTGTGTGAAATGTGTTTGCCCATGTGACGAGTCAGTGTGAATATCTGAATGGCAGTGTGTTCCTCATGAAAACAAGAGATTTTCTGCATGAAAATTGTGCCAAAAGCAGAGAATTGTGTGTAGTGTTTTGAAAAAAGTGTGTTTTAGAACTGCAATTTGAGTGTAAAGCAGGAATTGTGCTTGTAGTTCAGCAGAACTGGTTCAGGGAGTTGGTGAATGAGTTACATGTTGTGCTCATTGTGTCTCAAGTACCAGAAAATGTGTGTAAACAATCGAGAAAAACTGTAAACACTTAAACTACATGAAATCATTACTGAGAAGTTACAAAAAAAAAAAAATAAAATTCAATAAATAGAAATATATATTTGTTGTTTCCCTCTGCAGGAAATTACATTGAAAGAAACATGAGTTTTAATTTAATGCATCCTGAGAGTGTTTATTTGGTAAAGAAACAGTATAAATTGTCTAAATGAGGCCATAAATAATGTTGAAAATGGCCACATTTGAACTAGTTTTTAACCTTGTACAAAGGATCCATTAACGTCTTTTTCAGACGTCCAGAACACGTCAAAAGAAACGTCATAAAAACTTTCATTCCGGCCTCTCAGTGAACGTCTTTTCAAAGTCCCACTTTTGTGACAAAGATGTTGAAAAACGTCTTTTGGACATCATTTTGCTCAGTGGGTTATGTCAAACCGTTATCAACACCACCTGATCACCTTTTCTCTAAGTTCATCTGACAGTTCATCTCAGTTACAACAGCCAAACTAAATATAGTGTTAATACTTTAAGGGTCAAGAGCCCTACTGAAGCAAATAATGATCACCATTATGGTGACTTCGAAAATGAGATTTTTCTTCTTCAGTGATTCTGCTTGTTAACATCAGGTGTCTTCAATGATGGTCAGTTATCATTCAATTAATCACTTAATTAGCTCATTAACTTTAACACTCTGGAGTGTTAATTTAACACTCATATTTTAACACTTTAACACTCTTGAGTCTGGAGCCAAATAAACTCCCAGGAGAGTTAATTTAACACTAGAGTTTTTGCTGTGTACCTGTCTCCTGCCCGTTTGGACCATACAAAACTTTGGGAGTTGAGTCGGCACATTTCCAGAGAAAATAAAATTAACCCATTGTTCATCAGAGGCTCGCATGAAGGAACAAAAACATACTTTTGTGTTCATTTGTACATCCGAACACTGAGTTCCCTTTCGTAGTCACTTCGAGTTACGTCAGAAGTGACGGAGATTGGGGGTTTCGCATAGAAAGCCAATCCTCTTCGAGTATTTAAACACGAGCCAATGGCATGCAATGCCTTGGGGCTGCGGAATTTTGCATAGCGTACTCCGCCCTACTCCGTGAGTATAAAAGGAGGAAGTGAACGCAACCGCAGTATGTTTTCGCTTCGGAGCCAAGAGAACCTCTTCACTCCTGAAAGCTATTACAAGACTCTTCGAGACGAGCGTCCTCTTCAGTGTTGGTGTGACGGCGGTACCCATCGAGTTTCTGCATTGCCTGCGATCTGTGCAGTGGTCTGCCAGACTTTGCGCTTCTCCCTGGTCGCCTCAGCGCTGAAAGAGTGAATTTCCTCCTCTCTGTAAAAGAGCTACACGCGGCACGTCTTTTTAAAGACGGTTCGCCCGTGTTCTTCTGGATGCGGTCGATTTCTGTCGTCATCTGATGGTCGCGATCGCTGCTCTGTATGCCTGGGCATTCAGCATGCAGCAGCAGCGTTCGTGGATGACTCATGTTCCTGCTATGGGGACATGACCATCTCCACACTGAGGTTAAAAAAAAAAAAAAAAAAGATATATATATATATATAAAAAAATTATATTTTATATATAGAATATATATTTTTATATATATAAAAAAAAAAAAAAATCTCACTAGAGTGAGAGCCCCGGTCCCCCTTACTCGATCGGCTTCCTTCACGAAAGGGGGCCCGTCGACCGGGGACCCGGCGAATTAACGGTGACGGTGTGGCATAAAGCCCCGACGATTTCTCGGGCCACACCTCCCGCCTCAGTGCGTGAGCCAGCGAGCGTTAGTTCGATTCAGTCGGCTGCCTCTTCAGTGGTACCGGCTGCTTCGAGCAGCGCTCCAGATGATGATGTGATGTCGATCGCAGCATCACTAGGTGGGCTACAGTCCTCGGGAGATGAGGATGCGGCTGCACTGCCCCCTTCGGGAGAGCCAGCGCTGCCCGTGTCGGATCCCGAGCTGACGGCATGCTGTCTCAAGCCGCTGGGAGTATTGGGTTAGAGTGGCATCCTCCATTCTCCCCGATCTCTCACGGAGGGATAATTGGTTTTTGGACAAAGCTGCCGCCGCGAGGCCACGGCCAACTCCATTGCCTTTTTTCCCCGAGCTGCATGCGGAGTTATCGCGCTCTTGGGGGACTCCTCTGTCCACTCGAGAGCGCGATCTCTCCCCCGCCTTTCCCCCCTCGATGGGGGGCCGCCCGTGGGTGCACTGGGATGCCCCCGCTGGAGCGTTCTGTTGCGATACAGCTGTGTCCACAGGGCGCCTCCTCCGTGGTCCTCCTAGGCACCCATCCAAAGCCTGTAGGTTCTCGTCTGCCATGGCGGCGCGTTCCTATAGAGCGGCGGGACGGGCGGCCTCCGCTTTGCATGCGATGAGCACTGTGCAAGCGCAGATGCTCAGAGATATGCTCGAGGGCGGGACTGATCCAACGGCATTCGAAGATTTGCGGTCCGCCACTGACCTTGCTCTCCAAAAGGGCAACGAAAGTGGCCGCTCGCGCCGTTGGTCAGGTGATGGCCACTAGTGTGGTCCAGGAGCGTCAACCTGGCAGACACTCGGAGCGCTGAGCGGATTCGTCTG